ACAATCAAGCTATTGTCCCTCTACACACACACACACACACACACACACACACACACACACACACACACACACTGAAGGTCATGAATATTTGTTTGCATGTATAAAACAAGTCAGGGGTTCTTATCGTGTGTGTGTGTGTGTGTGTGTGTGTGTGTGTGTGTGTGTGTGTGTGTGNGCCTCTTCCTTCAGACTTTCTTACAGAGTCCCTCCTCCAACACACACGAACGCGCATCATCAATGAGGCCACGAGATAAGTTTGTGCACAGATGGAAGGCTGACAGGCAGGTAGGCCATCCAGTTATTTTAGCCGGGAAGGCTAAAATGATCGGTCGTGCTTTTTACAGCGCTACGGCTTCCAGAGATTAATTTTTGTATGTATTTATTGTCAAAGCATTTCATATATTCATTGCTATCGGGACGTTAAGAGCATTCCATGGAATATAACAAAAAGTGTTTTCTGAAATAAATGACATACCCCATTGAATTATGACTGAAGATCGTCAGCTGTCTTTCTCTCCAGTGTTGGTTGTTCCTCGATACGTAAAGGCTGCAGCACCGTTGACAACTTCTCTCTACATATCAAACATACCGGTAAACCAGCATCGTTTGCTGTGAAAGCATATAACTCTGTCCACGCAGAATTAAATCCTGTGTTTCTCCTGTACTATTCTTTGATTTATCCATAGTTCACTCATCGAGCCGGGGGTCAGGTTATTCACCCGCAGGAAAAGGCGCTGGCGCGGGACCGTAGCAGGATTTGACGCATATTTTAGTTGACCTAATTAAAACCGTTTTGTTTTTTATTTATGTGTCACAGTATCACCTCAAAATACAAGATACGAAACATTTTCAACCATGCAAGAAAATATAAATAGTCCTACAAATACTTTTATTTTATTTCCTTCTTATTTTTGTCTAAGCTCAAGGGAGCCAGAGCATGCGCATGAGAGCCGCGGGTTGCCGAACCCTGCCTTAGGGCATTGGAATTTGGAAAAATCTAAGTATCAAGGTGAGAAAATAATGTGAAGAGTCTCTTTAGTGGCTGTTGAATCAGAATCAGAATCAAGTTTGTTGCCAGGTACGTTTACACATACAAGGAATTTGCCTTGGTATCTGGTGGTGCGAACATAATCAATCTAAAAAAACAAGTTGCAAAGTAGGTAAAAAGAGAATATAAGTGTTGGGAAAATACTGAATGTACTCTTTGAATATCAGATTAGCACATGATAACAAAGGCCTAACTGTAACTGTGTACATAACCGGATGTATGATTACATAGAAGAAGCTCATGAGACACTGTATTGAACATACGATAGCTATGCGACAATGATTAAACATGATGACACAGCCCCTAGGGAGATAGACATAAGCCGCGTTCACACCGGAGTACTTTTCCCACAGTAGTTCACCAGAACTATGATATATTTGCGTTCACACCAAAAAAAGCCGGAACTAAAATTGGTTCATCAGAACCTTAGGTTCTGATGAACCAATTTTAGTTCCGGCTTTTTTTGGTGTGAACGCAAATATATCATAGTTCTGGTGAACTACTGTGGGAAAAGTACTCCGGTGTGANAGTAGAACGTAATAATCGCTAATCGTTACACGGGTCACGTGTTCCGTTCTCGTTTTGTTTATCTTTGATTTACCCCCGTTCCACCTCTCACTCCTCCACGAGTCGGTAAGACGCCGGCTCAAATGAGCATTCGCTCACTGCCGGCCTGGAGTATCCCGGGCGGATCCCCCGCGGCCCGGGGGGGAAAGGTGTCAAACTTAACAGTAATTTTAATTTTTATTATCTTTTATATATAAATTAAAATGAAGGCTTCACAAAACTTTTTGGGAGTTTTACGGGGCGTGGTTTGCAATCCGCCCAGCCAATAAGAAATAGGAACCTTTTTCTCCCACGAAAGTCTCTGCTCTCTAGCAGGGTAAAAAGGTTCTGATGAACCAATTTTAGTTCCGGCTCTTTTTGGTGTGAACGCAAATATATCGTAGTTCTGTTGAACTATTGTGGGAAAAGTACTCCGGTGTGAACGCGGCTAGTGGGAAAAAGTATTTCTGGGCCGTGTGACGTCATGGACT